TTAGCTAAGAATAGAATTAAAGGTAAGTCAAGAGGCAACTGGACTTCCTTGTTTTTCTTTGAAAATGTTTCGCTTCTCATCCAAGAAGCTTCTTCAGCTCTGATTGGATGGTGGGAATGGCTGAAGAGCTCAATGGTCAGAGCTGAAAAAGTTTCTTGGATGAGAAGCAAGATGTCTTCAAAGAAGAAGAAGAAAATCCAGTTGCCTCATGAAAAAGCATCTTTGGGACAAGCATGACCTGGATGACTGAGAATCTTCACAGACGATTAAAGGTAAGAAAAAAAGAAATTGGCAAAGAAGGGAATATGTCATACAGCTTTAATTGTATGAAATGCAGTAGAAAGATCAGTATTATCACTCCAATTATTATGCAGCTGATCATACTTTATACTTTTATTCCACTTTCTGGGTAATTATTATGATTCATGTGATTCTTCAGCATGATGGATGGAGAATCCACCAATGGGTTGACTCTGTCTTCCTGCCAATGAGACTAAGTCAGTCAAAGTTGCCATGCCCCGTCCTGGTCTGGGACCACCCAGTCTTGACTTAGTCTGTTTGCCCAGACGGGCGCGATATCTTTGACTCCCAAATTTATTTCTTCAGGCAGGTTAGACCTAAGGAATTTTTTTCTCCTTCTTTTTCCCTTTTTAACCATTAGTGGATTCTCCTGACCTCTAGTTGTTCCTCTTATACCATTTCACTTCAAGCCTAGTTTCTGAGGCCTCAATTGCCAAAATCAGTCAGCTCGAGTCGCGGCCGCCATTTTGCACACTGCGCAACTGTCAGCTTCTCTGAGAAGTCTGCCTCGGAGACCAGCACATCTCAGCTGCTCGGCGTGGTGAGCAAGCGTGCCCCAACTCTCTCAGCCATTTTCTCCGGAATTTCTAGCTGAAGCTTCGGTCTCCATGAACCAGGCTGCAGCTGAGAGGCGCTGCAGCTGATGTGCCTCTCAGATGTTTGGCGCAGCGGCCGTCTCGCCACTTTCAAATTGGCTCTGGACTGTCCGACCTTCTCAGATTACTTTCGGCTTGAAGCCTCGGCCTCCGAGAGCCCTGCTGCTGCTGGGAGACGGTGCAGTCAGGAGGCCGCCGCTTGGCGCGCCTCTCAGCTGTTTAGCGTGGCAGCTTGGCCTCCCTTCGTCGGATCGGCCTCAGGCTTTCCGAGCCCCTCGGCGCTAGATTCCAGGTTCCCTCGGCTGAAACCACCCTCCGAGGACCCATTGATTCTGATAGCTGCTGCGGCTGGCGCGCCTCTCAGCTGATTGAGGCAGCGGCCTGGATCGCTTCATATTGATCGGCTGAAGAACAATTTGACAGTTTGCTTCAGCACGATCGTCGCGGGCGCCATTTTGTGCGCCACGCAAAACACGAAATTGCCAAGCTACCTCAGGAGGGGATAGCAGGATAGGACTCCCATCTGCATTCCTCCTCCTGTCACATGTCCAGATCTCAGTCAGGACACAGGTCCTCGCACTGCCAGGAGGCCACCATTTTGAGTCCCAAACGCTGCAAGGTCTGAACAGCTGGCAGACCCAGGAGAACCAGCCTCCTTACTACAATTGCAGTGGACTGCACTCAGTGGCATAGAACCAGGACCAACTTTCCCTTTGAACAGGCAAGTCATTATTACAGTCCTTTATGCCACTTAGAGCCTCACCAGCTTAGCTTGTCTACCAGTCTGCATCTAGTGGTTGCTCATCTAGGCTCTGACCATCGCCACTAAGTGAGACACGTGGGATCTTGTCACTGAGCGCAAATTAGGCCCGGCCATAAATACTGACTATTAATACCACCTCCTTCAGTGACGTGCGCATCTTCCCGCGCTAAGCGTGACTCTGGGCTTGCCAGTGGGCTGGACTATCACAGATCCACGTGCTGGACAGTACCATCTTGGTGGGCCACTGCCATATCTCTTGCAAACCGAGATTTTTCCAGTCCTCCACTGGAAACGTCTCGATTTATCATGGCAGATAACACCGCGCCACAGACTTCTACCTCTGCTGGACAAACTAACCACAAGTCCCCCAACCAAGAGGCTGCGGCCAAGATCAAGGCCAAATCAAAGGCCAATTCCAGCAAAAAAGCATGCAAATCTGCTGAGAAACAGGCCGGCCATGTGCATTTTGCCCTGGAGAAACAGTTCTCCCGGGCACAAAGGTGGCGGTAGGAGAGGCGGACAAACCTCCCCTCCCCTCACTGAGGCTTCAACTTACAGTTCCCAACTCAATCCCCCGGCATTGACATGGTCACCAGAATGAGAGCCTCAACAAGACTTTTTTATCGAGTATTGGTCAGGAAGGCCCATTCCTCTTTGGTGAGGAACTCGGGCCTCAAGGCCCTTCCATGGCACCTTATGAAAAAGCATCTTTGGGACAAGCATGACCTGGATGACTGAGAATCTCCACAGACAATTAAAGGTAAGAAAAAAAGAAATTGGCAAAGAAGGGAATATGTCACACAGCTTTAATTGTATGAAATGCAGTAGAAATCAGTATTATCACTCCAATTATTATGCAACTGATCATACTTTATACTTTTATTCCACTTTCTGAGTAATTATTGTGATTCATGTGAATTTGAGGGAGATGGACCAGTCTATCAGTCACTTAAAGTAAAAAGACAAGATATATTAGGTACATAAGTGGCAGAAAAAAGAGATTAGTTCTTTAAGGTTCAAATAAACGAGTAAGCCAAAAACTAAACTAGAATTTATACCTATTTGAGTGTTTCTAAGAATGATGTTACATAAATAAGCTCTGTTGCTGTAAATTAACATGAGTTAATTATTAGATAAGGAAGCATGCTTGGGCAGTAAGTATCAGTGGGAAACTTAATTTATGCAGCTATCTTACGGCTTATTTAAATACCTTGATCTAAATTGCCATTTGGAGTTTGCAGTTCTTGTTGAATTTCCCTCCCTCTGCCACAAAAAATGTTTTCTTTTCTGGCATAATCATTAACTAGGAAATGGGTTTGTAAGTTGGTAATTTTCACAGGTGCAGATATGCTTGAACATTTGGAAAATTTCACAAACATGAGCAGCTCTTCTCCACTTTATTTTGTTGCACATTTGTATAATTGAAGCAATTTATAATAAATTTTATCTCTGTGTGTGCGAGTGTGTCATGTATACATTTTCGAATAGCAAGTATAATGAAGTTTAATATTGGAAACTTATTTGATAAGAATATTTAAAGAATTATGTTTGTTTCTGAACTGCTTACCATAAAATTACACATCTGCATTTAATTTAAAACTTTATTGAATCATCTTAAATTATCTTTTATAAATATTAGTTATGTTCACCAAAAGCTGTAACGAGTCAATCAAAAACATACTTAGAAAGGTAGCTTGGAATAAATCATAATAATCAATTGATAAAATTTCCATCTGTCAATTGCAAAAGGCCATGTTACTTGGATCTCTACATCTACACATTATGACATTTTAGGTTCTTGGGAAGAATGTGATCCATATGAAGGCCAACACCAACTAAATAACTGGCTGCTGTGATTTCACATTGTTGTGGACAGAGAATAACAGTGTGATCTCTAATCTCTTTCTAGGTTAGACCTTATAAAGTTCTATCCCACTTAAGGTGTTTTTGTATTTCTCAAACCAAGCAATTGATCAACTACTATAAAGTTGTTACCATGGAGATATACTCCAGAACAGCCTCATTTTTTACTTTTTGTGTATAAAATTGATTTTGTTTTCTTTTTATATAAAATTTCTAAGCTATTTGTAAGATCAGGTGATTCTTGGCCAGATTGTAGCTCACAACTTACAACACAATTGGGATCTTAATCTTGGTCATTGAGTGAAGCTGTAGGCAAGCAAGATGTCATAGCTTTACCCAACAACTGCAATCCTAGCCTACCCAGTTGAGGTTATTAAATAATCTTGTGAGTTGTTAAGCAGACAGTCACCAAAATGCTAGCAGAATTTTCAGCCTCAGAGCGGAGAGACTTGTTTGCAGCACTCCCACCTCGTATGTGGCCTGTGCTGTCCTGCTTGAATTTCAGCAGGGAGAATTTTCATCCCCTGCTCTGCTGTGGTACTGAAAATCCTGCTTGGATTCTGCTATGCACCTTTTTTAACCAGTCCCTGGAGATTAGACAGAATTTTCTTTGTAGGCTACAATGCTTGCGACCTTCCCTGTCGGCTTCCCCACTGAGAGAATTGGCAGGTAAAATTGCAAATGGTGCTCACATGATCACAGGAAAGATTGCAAATCATAATTACATGATCATAGAACATTTGGCAACCAGGGGTAAGTCTGAATAGATTGCCAAATGCCCGGATCACAATCCCATGACTATGGAGTGGCTGCAAAGGGAACAGTTGTAAGTCGCTTTAGCATCTGTCATGACTTTGAATGATCACTGAACAAATGATTGTAACTTGAGGACTACTTGTAGTCTAATTTTAGTTCTGATGTTGAATTCGTAATGTCAGTCATTTTTTTAAGGAAATCTTTTCATGGAATGCAAAAATTAGGCTGAAAAGGGAATTAAGTTCATTTATGGAAGCTCCTTAAAGTCACTTTAAACTGAAAGATGAACGAGAGGGCAATTAGTAATGAATTAATGGAAGCATTAAAATATAGTATGGGGATACTGCAATATGGGTTCAATGCTGTAGAGAAGGTACTAGAAGCAAATGATGGAAGAAAGGAGAAATCAAGGAAGATACAAGGACAGATTAAGCAAAGTGTATAGTGTAGTTTATTCATCAAGTGAGAAAGGATAGAGAAGAGAGCTGATATAAAGGGGAAAGGAAAAAAATGAGACTACTGTGATATTAATATTGAAAAATATAAAGACTTAGGCACAGAGGGATGCGGGAAAGATAAGCACAAACATCATATCACAAGCATATCACTTACAATAACAAAGAGGCATTATGAATCTCAAGTATAACAGTACAGTGTTAGTGAATGAACTGCTTATATGAAAATATTGCATCTTATTGCTGTCAATTCTCTTTTATTTGCAGATAGTATTTACCTTTCGCTAGAAGTGGAATGAAGGAACAGACAATGGGAATACGCTCAAGATAACACTCCTGGACAAGGTGTCTTATGGCTATTTTGAGTTGATTTATATCTGTATCTTTTATGGTTTTTACATACAAAGGATTTATTTTTCTTTTGGATATACTCAAAATACAAAATTGTTTCTTGTTGGAAACTTTTTACTTTTGAAAACTATACACCATGGGAGACATGGCCAACAACTCAGTGGCATATGGTGGTGTAAAATATGCTATAAAAGATTCTAATCATGGAGATTTTGGTATTACACTTGAAGAGCTTCGTACACTTATGGAACTGCGAGCTGCTGATGCTTCGCATAAAATACAAGAATGCTATGGAGATGTATATGGAATCTGTACAAGATTGAAAACTTCTCCTAATGAAGGTAAGGGTGATTGTACATGGATTTTAAGTAAGAGAATTCTGGCTTGTATAGATACTGTAGGCCTTGTTTTAATGTTAATTGACAGTGTTGTTATTTGTCACTTGAAGAGCCACTTGGCTTTTGTTGCATTTTAAATGGATTTATTTGGTTCTAAATTAAGATAATTAAAAGTAGAATTTAACAAAATAAATTTGGATTTGAAGCTGCAAATATTTCTGTTTAGGTATAAGTCCAGAAAATATAATTCAAAAGTACCACAGTTTATTACGATGCATACTGATACCTGCCAGAACATATTTAGCATAACAGTGGGAAAGGGAACCACCAAGAGACAAGATAGAAGACCAAGAAACCAAAATTGGGGAATATGCAGCAGTGACAAAATTGACAATACTTATCCATAATAGACATAATGCTAAATTTAAGCAGGAATGGTTCTCTTATACATAGCAAGAGAAATTAAGACATTTGGAATATAGTTCCTAAATAAGATTTTGAGATCAGTGAAAAACAACAGATAAAACAAGGAGACATAGCAATAAACTCAATGTTCAGTGCAAAGTACAAAAATTTAGGTTAGCAAATTTGAAATAAAGGGAAAAGAAGGGGGGAAAGAATGCTTTTTTTGTCTTTGATTTCCTGTAATATTTCATTTGATGTTGGAAATTCTGATGATTTTTTCCCCATTATTTTTATTGAACTACGAGGGCAATTCAGAAATAAACCTCCGTTTGGTTATCAATGACAGACACTCGCAGATACAGGACTTTTATTATATACATTAGAAAACTATATTACATTACTTTTTTACATAATTGCCATTCAAATTGAGGTACTTTGTTATCTGTTTTACTTTAAAGAACTGTTTAACTCTGTTGCCTGTTGTGCCAGCATATGTGGGGGCTGCTGGGTGAACGTTGGCAGTGCTTACAAAGACAATTATTTTGACCAGCTAAGTGCTTTGCCTCTGTTCGGGGCCCTGGGTCATCACACATGCTGACTTCCAGTGTGGTGTTGGTTCACGATAATGCTTGCCTGCACACCGCTAGACGCACCGAAGAACTTTTGAAGCAGTTGGGATGTTTTTGATCACACACACCCCATAGCCCAGATTTGGCATCAAGTGACTATTACTAAGGAATTTCAAACTTTGCAAGATGTTATGACAAGTGCCTCAATTTGAGTGGTGATTATGTCAAAAAGTAATGTAACGTTGTAGTTTTCTAAAGTGTATAATAAAAGTTCTGTATCTGTGAGTGTCTATCATTGATAACCAAACAGAGGTTTATTTCTGAATTCCCCTTGTATAATTAACAATATTGGGTAACAAACAATATTAACATAAATCCAAGATGTACATATAAGGGAAAAAAGGATGTAGAAAATAGAAAAAAGTACTATATTGAATATAATGTACAAATTTACCATGTATGTAAAATAGACCATATTACAGTTCATTGCTTTTGAGATAAATCATAAATCATCCAAATATGATTAAATTGAGGATCTTCCTTTATTTTAACTTTATCTGTGATATTTTTTAAATGTGGCAATTGAAGAGATTTTATTAATCCACATCTCTAACATTATGTTATCTAATGTTTTTCAGTGTTGTGTCATTATTTTGGCTACTAAAATTAAATGGATAATAAGTTCTTTATTTTTAAGCTTGATATTTGGTTCTGTAAACAAATGTAGTAAGCCCACCTTTGGGAAGCATTTAATTCTTTGTTGATGTTACTTATCTCCCCAGATATTTTATGACAAAAAGATATAGCTTTATCACATGAAAAATTATAATTACACACACACACACACACACACACACTCGTATTACGGGCCCAATTTGCAAAAGAAAGCTTAGGACCATATTGGTTGGAAAATTCTTTGACCAAGTGACAAAATTAGTGGATCAGAGGAATGCTGTGGATATAATTTACTTGGACTTCAGTAAGGCATTTGATAAAGTAGATCACAACCTACTACTTGATAAGATAGAAAAATGTGGGTTAGACAGCATCACCACTAGATGGATTCATAGCTGTCTGACCGGCCGTACTCAGCGTGTGGTCCTCAATGGAACTGCATCTAAATGGAGAGAAGTGTGCAGTGGGTGCCCCAGGGCTCTGTTCTAGGCCCGGTTCTCTTCAATATCTTCATCAATGATTTGGACGAGGGGATAGATGAGGAACTCATCAAATTTGCAGATGACACCAAGTTGGCAGGAATAGCCAACACTCCAGAAGACAGGCTTAAGATACAGGAGGACCTGGACAAACGTGAACACTGGGCACTATCTAACAAAATGAAATTCAATGGTGAAAAAAGTAAGGTTCTACATTTAGGCAAGAAAAACCAAATGTACAGGTATAGTATAGGGGGTACCTTGCTCAATAGTAGTAACTGTGAGAGGGATCTCGGAGTCCTAGTGGACAATCATTTAAATATGAGCCAGCAGAGTGTTGCAGCTGCCAAAAAAGCCAACACAGTGCTGGGCTGCATTAACAGAGGGATAGAATCAAGATCACGTGAAGTATTAATACCACTTTACAATGCCTTGGTAAGGCCACACTTGGAATACTGCATCCAGTTTTGGATACCACGATGTAAAAAAGATGTTGAGACTCTAGAAAGAGTACATAAAAGAGCAACAAAGATGATTAGGGGACTGGAGGCTAAAACATATAAGGAATGGTTGTTGGAATTGGGTATGTCTAGTTTAACGAAGAGAAGGACGAGGGGGGACATGATAGCAGTGTTCCAATATCTCAGGGGCTGCCTCAAAGAAGAGGGAGTCAAGCTATTTTCCAAAGCGCCTGAAGGCAGGACAAGGAGCAACGGATGGAAACTAACCAAAGAGAGAAGCAACTTAGAACTAAGGAGAAACTTTCTGACAGTTAGAACAATTAACCAATGGAACAACCTGCCTCCAATGTGGTGAATGCTCCAATGGAAGTTTTTAAGAAGAGACTGGACAGCCATTTGTCTGAAATGGTGTAGGATTTTCTGCCTGAGCAGGGGGTTGGACTAGATGACCTCCAATGTGTCTTCCAACTTTATCATCATCATCATCATCATCATCATCATCACCATTATTATTATTATTATTACCAGTATTGCAATGTGCTTAAGTATCTGACTTTTAGGGGGGAGAGGCAAGGGAAATACTTATATTTAAAGTAAAGATTTATATTAAAACATACAGTCTTTCATCTAAAGTAGGTGTGTCCAACATACAGCCCATAGGCTGCCTGTGGTCCTGGTCAGCTAGTAATGTGGTCCCACAAACTCATAAATTTTTAACATTATTATGTGATTTATAAACATTTACTTATGTATATACATATATGTATTATATATTTTATGTGTAGCCCAAGACATTCCTCTACATTCAGTGTGGCTCAGGCAAGCCAAAAGGTTGGACTCCCATCATCTAAAAGATTTATTAAGGGCTATTTATGTATATGAAGTTTCCAGCAACCATTGGTGAACATTATTCAGACCACAAATTGTAGCTCCTATTCACATTTATCTGATGCCTAATTAGAAAGGAACACACTTGGTCCCTACATATCTAAGCCATTCATAATTTATGAGATATGTAATGACTGTACAAAGTCATTTCAACATATGTCTAAAAGAGAAACAATTTCATTTTTAATAACCATTGGCCAATTTGTTCATTGGGCTTCTCTTACAGATACTATTGAGCTGAGTGCAGGTGTTTACATGTTGACTTCCAAGTGAAGCAGTCATTAAATGTGTTCTTGTGGTGTTATTAATATGTAAATTGAGTTTTAATTCTGTCTAGTCAAGGTTTGAGTTACCTAAATGTGTTTGGACTACATTGCTCAGAATTCCCAGCCAATATTGGGCATGCAACTGGAAGTTGTAATTTGACAGTAGCTATAGGAATCACTTCTACTGTCATTGTTTCTTTTGTGCTTAGTGTCATTAAGCAAAATTGTGAGATTTTTTTTCCATATTAATACAGATAAAATTGAATGATTCCTTAATACTGGCAGGGAAAATAAAACAGCAATACAATTCTGGGATGTGGGTGTTTTAAATATATTTTCTTATCAGGTATTATATTCAAGTGGCTTTGTAAGATACAGTTATATAACTATAATTAGTTCTTAAAATGGTGGACAAACCATTCTATCTGCACAGGTTTTGTAGCACAGCTTTTGTTCTCAAAGTGTTGAAAACATCCATATATTCTGTGCTATAATTATTTTGGGGCAAAGGGAAGAAAGTGCAATGTTAGAGGAGCCTAAAGTTTCCCTTTTGAATTTTTTTTCAGAAATAGTCAAAATCTGCCTTAAACACTCATGATAGAGATTTTTATTAATCTAATTTGCTAATGTTATTGATTTATGTTTCTGGAAGGCCACACATCAAATGTGTTAATCACTGATTTAAAGTGATGTTGATATGCGTAAAAGGATAAAGGTATGCTTGTTATATGTGACACTGGAACGGTAGCAATGAATTAGCAGAAACTCAAAACTTTTATATTCAATGCGTTCCTCTATGGGTTCAGAAAAATCTTAAAATACAAACAACAGTTTGTAATCCTAATGTCAGCTATTGATATAATTAATTTCTTTGAAAATCAGGGTTATACTTAATAAATATATTTTTAAAACTATACTTGGTTTTTATCTAGACTAAAAATATATAAATCAAATTAAAATAAATAAAACAATACATTTCTTCAGTGATTTGTAGCCAGTTGCTGCTACTATTTTAGAAAACATGGGCATAAATAGCATGATAATAAATAAGCACAAAATAACAAGTTTGCAGTATATTTAACATTTTAATAAACCCAATATGAAAAATGTTCCATTTTTGTTAGGAGGTGACAATAAACTACTCTAAAATGATTTTCCCTTTTTACTGTTTAGGCTTAAGTGGAAATCCAGCAGATATAGAGAGGAGAGCAGCTGTATTTGGGAAGAATTTTATACCTCCTAAAAAGCCAAAAACATTTCTTCAGTTAGTATGGGAAGCACTACAGGATGTTACGTTAATAATTTTAGAAATTGCAGCCATAATATCATTGGGCCTTTCTTTTTACCAACCTCCAGGAGGAAACGATGCATGTAAGTAATCATATAGTTTTTCTTTCATTCTTTTTTATCTTGAAATACACCAGAATGAATGTGTTAGAATTCTGTTATAAATCCAAAAAGTGTTTTGTGTTCTTAGAACTGAGAGAACTTGACAGGTTAAAGTCTATTCACATTGAATTCTAGTCAGTTCTTCATTTGAGCAAGATACGGGTTTTAATATCATATTTGCACATGAATGTCTGATAGAATGACAATAGATTTATATGATCTTCTGTTTTCTTCTGTTTTTAAATCTAGAAAACAAGAATAATTAGAGCAACTTCACTCTGTTCTCAACTTAATTTCCCCAGGGTTACACAATGTAGAAATCAAAAGAGCTTAGTTAATCTATATTTGGACGGGCATTTTGAGCTTTACTATAATCTAATTTCCTCAAGTATAGGATCTCTTCAGATGCTGTATTTTTCAGTGGAGAGAGTTCAGGAGCAGGCCTGGATTCATATACTCTATTCCTTACTGCTCCCAAGGACAGGTAAATATGAGTGTCTAAATAGAGGTACTAATGAACGAAGTAGGAAACCTGATGGGGTCAGAACAAGGTTCACTTCTTGTTAAGTCCCATTCCTGCAAAAAGTAGATACACTCAACACATACCCCATGTTTACACTTATATCCAGATCAACATGCAGTTACTTAGCAAATACCAGTGCAGATTAATATTCCTGGGCTATCTTTTTATTAGATGAATTTCTTTTTAAAAATGCCATTCATCAATATTGAAATCTGCTAAATGGAGTGATCAAGGTATTTTTTCTAAATGCATATAGTATAAATGTTTAGTTGGTATTATTAATTCTAACAACTAAATATGGTGCTACAAAATATCCGAATTATCAGATAAAATCATGATCTTAAAATTAATACACTGTGTCTGAAATGGTCTCAAACAAAAATTGCTTATTGTTTCAAAGTCTGTCAAGAGACTTTAGGTAGTAAAGTGAGAGTGTGTTTTTCTGCAGAATATTTCTCTGACATGTTCACTGAGATGACTTCTGAAATACTGTCCCAAAGGTGCTTTTTCAAGAGGCAACTGAATTTTCTATGTCTCTTTTAAAAAGCATCTTTGCGACAACCATGATCTGGATAACTAAGAATCTCCATAGACATTCTGAAATATGCTTGGAAACCTATTCCTTAATTGTTGGCTTACTTTTAAAGTAGCCTGGAAACAAAGCCTTCTTTAAATATTTCAGTGTGGGGGATATAGAGATCTTTTATTCAGAATAAGATCAGGAAGATTTCAGGCTAGTGGAACATGGTTCAGTTTCTATGATAACTCTGAAATTTATTAAGTAAAGCTTACTACAAAAACAATTTTAAAATCAAAAAATCAAATTTTATATTTGAATTTGGTGTAAGTTTTAAAATTAGACAATTTCATCTTTCCCTGTAACAATCTCTGCTTGATTATCCCAATCTTTCTTTATCCAGCAGTATAATTAGTAGTTGGTAAGTCTTGTTTCTGTACTTTGGATAAATCTAGATCTATGTTCTGTCTGTTTATTCCATAGGTGAATGGAGCAAGGCTATTAAAAGTTTAGAAGTTAACTATAATTCTGAATTGTGTTGAGAAATAAATTTGAAACCAGTGCAATGCTGACTAAAACACAGGTATTGCATTTAGAACAGATAGAATATCTGGATATTCTTTAGAATCAACCCTAATGATTCACACATTACATAAAATTTAATTTACTTAGCTTCGAAGTAATGTAGTATATTGATAGAGTTATGGCTTATTTATTAAAATAGCCATTGTACCTTACTAAACAAAACACATTTAAAGCAAAGTATTTATAAATTTTGCTATAGAATACTGGTTAGTTGCCCAGTATGTCCAGTGATATAATGCATTCTTGGTTATGGCTGTTTTCTATGATTCCAGGAGTGCTGTCTTCCACATCTTTTAATCTTGCCATCATGTGATAGCTATAGCCATCCATTTAAATGTTCCATTACAAATTCTATAGAAAAGAGAAAGTAGTGTGCACTTAATCTCCAATTTATGGACTACTAACATGATATTTTATAATATCACTATTTTAAGAATTACATAAGTTATTAGCAGGAAGACTATAACACTGTCTTCCAAAGTAGTAATACCAATAGTTTCAACGTAAGTCAACAAAACTGTATATGACTATATCAACCCGTTTTGATTGAGTTATATAACTTTATATATTCTTTCTTTAAATCCGAATCTCCTACTATGCTTCTACATATAGTTCTTTTCAAAATAATTTTTCCCTGTGTGCAGATGCATGTATTATATTAATTCTGATGTTTGAATGGTCATATAACCACCAGAGACTGGGCTCAATTCAGCGGCACTTAAATCTTTATCATGAATTATAAAATAAACATATGCTTCTTCTAGTACGGTGATCGAATCTTTTAGAGATTGAGTGTCCAAACCAGCCCCTTCCTCCCCACTTGCCTCGCTCCGTGCCCCGCCCCCTGCTCTGCCACCACTCCCGCTCCCCCGCAAGGCCACCCACCGCCTCCACGTCTCACCTCAGTAGATCGCCCAGGCGGCCCAGCATCACCGTGGCAGCCATGTCCTGTGCCCGTGCCCCAGAGCATCATCTGCGCATGACAGGGTGTGAGGTCAGAGTCTTGTTCCTGCTACCCAGCTGCCATGTCCTGCTCCACGCAGACCATGCTCAGGGGCGACTCTCCAGGGGGGCTGCTGGTGAGAAGGCTGCAGGAGGAGGCGGGGCTGGGCGACAGTGCATGTGCCCACAGAGAGGGCTCTGAGTGCCATAGGTTCGCCACCACTGTTCTAGTAGCTCTTATGATAGTCCACGAAGTAAATTCAGTTTCCTCTTAATTCAAAATTTGGCAAACTATATTGATATTATTTGTATGACTACCAGATATAACAGTTTTCTAAGACCAGAATTATTTTATTAGGAGCAAAAGTCTCTATTCAAAAGGATCATGATTGGGAGAAAACTAGTGTATTAAACTTTGCCTTCCAATAATTTCTGGCAGATGGATATATGTGTGTGTGTGTGTGTGTGTGTGTGTGTGTGTGTGTGTGTGTAGGTCTTTGGTTATTCGGGTTTTCTCCCGTGTCAAATTAGAAGTGTCTTAGTGACGTTTCGACGAAGTCTCATTCGTCATCTTCAGGCTGGTGTTTTCGGCTTCGTGCTTCTAGCAGCAATGTGTGATCGTAGCTGTTTCTTCCAATGGGGGTATGAACTGATTGGATGAGAGCTTGGCTGTGTTCTGATTGGATGGGGGAGTGTTCTCTTTGGGTGGGGGCTTTGTTGTGCTCAGGTTAGTCTGAGTTGCAGGGGGGTTTAAGATGGTGGGCTGCCTTGCTATTTTTTGGCTTCGTGGTCGTGCCTCATCTTCATGGTGGGTGTCAGTTTGCTTCATGTATGGATTGGAGGGGTTTAAAGTGGCTAATGATGCAGCTGTGGTCTGGCTTCTGGTTTGTGGTTATGCCTCATTATCGGTGTGGGTTTGGGTTTGCTTTTTGCGTGGACGTGTGGTGGTGACATCCTGTGTGGCTTTTGTGAGTGTGGGTCTGGTGTCATTCTTTGTGTTAGGGATTCGTTTGTCAATAAGGGCGGGTTTCCAAATGGCTGGTAGGCGGAGGTATCATCTCGTTCATGCTGTGTGGGCATTTTTCTATCTCAATGGGTTTTCTGATTATTCTGTTATTAAAGTGTTCAGTTTTGGCGATAGTTCTGGTCTTTTTAAAGTCAATTTCATGTCCTGTGATTTTAAGGTGTTGGACCGGGGAAGAAGCTGGTTCCTCTTTTTTGACTGAGTTCTTATGTTCTTCAATGTGTGCACTTATTCTTCTGTTGGTTTGTCCGATGTATGTGATGGGACAAGTGGTGCATGGGATTTCGTATACTCCTTGATTTTCTAATTCAATTTTATCTTTGGGGTTTCTTAGGATGGTGGATATTTTTCTGTTTGTGCAGAATGCTGTCTTAATGTTGTGTTTGTGGAGGAACTTACTGATTCTGTCTGTGGTGCCTTTTATGTAAGGGAGGAGGGCTTTGCCGTTTTCTTGTTCTCTGTCTTGGGTTTTAGTGGGGGTTTCTTTTTGGATTAGTTTGGTAATCTTATTTCTTTGGAATCCATTGGATGTAAGTACATTAGTGAGAGTGTGTAGTTCGGTTTTTAGGTATTGTTCATCAGCTAAGCTCCTAACCAATCAGAACACACCTCCATCCAATCAGAACACAGCCAAGCTCTCATCCAATCAGTTCATACCCCCACTGGCAGTTAAAAGGAAGAAACAGCTATGATCACACATTGCTGCTAGAAGCACGAAGCCGAAAACACCAGCCTGAAGATGACGAATGAGACTTCGTCAAAACGTCACCAAGACACTTCCAATTTGACGCGGGAGAAAACCCGAATAACCAAAGACCTACATACAAACACCCGCGAAAACCTCAGAAAACAAATGTATGTATGTATGTATGTATGTATGTATGTATGTATGTATGTATGTATGTATGTATGTATATATATATATATATATATAGTATATATATATATATATATATATATATATATATATATATATATATATATATGCCAGCCTTCTACATTCTGGATACCTTCAGGTATAATTGAATATGATACCTGTGAGGAACATTTCCTTTTCATTGGTTTCTCTTGGTCCTGAATGGGTTTAGGAAAATATATGTTTATGTAAAGGAAGCAGGAACTAAGGAATAATGAACATCATCCTTAACTCAAACTCTTGTTTGTAAGAAACCATATAACTACCATGCAAGCCTGTGAAAAGATTGACTCCTTTTAGGAATTAACTGACAGGTATAGCATGGCTGACTACACCAAATTCAAAGCATCCTTTTCTACCTCACACCAAGATACTGCATACCTCTGCTCTAAGTAGACCTGCCATCCCTATCCAATAAAACCCTTAGCCTTGCTGACTAGAAGTACTGATTAAAGTCTGCCAGCACCTAGATGTCGCTAGATTGAGAAGACTGCTTTAATAGGTAGGCATACATGTTACAATATTAATAGATTCAGTTTGTAAAACATACTAAACAAATAATGAGTGCTTACTGCCAGCCCAATGGTAGCCTTTAGCATTTAATTAAAAATGTAATTAGGTAAAAATTTGTTAACTAGCCAGGAAACTAAAGACATTTTTTTTTCACTTTCATTGTTATTTTTTTTCCTTTTTTGTGTTGTTATGTTTGTATTTATTCCTTAGAAATTAGGAGGAAGAAGCATTGTTAATATTTCTCAGTAATTGCAAGGTCTGGTCTCAGGCCAAGAGAGGATTAAGCTGCAATTTCACTTGCCCCATGCTTGATCTTAAATTAGAATCTATTTGTCCTGATCGACATAAACCATATAGCTTAAGTAGTATTTTATAACAGTGTGATTGTTTGACTGGCTCTATTTGTTCTTTTTTGAATCATTTTTCTTTCTTTCTATTAATTGATTATATCAGATGGTGAATGAGGTTTCTCCTTACATTTCAATGTGTTGTCCACTCAGAACCTTCTTATGCCTCTGGAACAGGAGAATTGTAAAGAGTAATGAAGGGAAAAGCCTTTTACTTTAGCAGAAAATTGTTGATAGAATTTTGAATGTAGCTCTTTGGGTTATAATTCAGTATCCACTGATCCTCACAATTAATAAAGCATAAAGGCCTCTAGAACTTATTGAATCACCAGATAAACAACTTTCTTTCTCATTATAATTATACTGAAAAATGGGCTGAATGTGGTACCTAGGAAGAGTTAGCATCTCTGGTGGAGATGCCTGACGTGCCCTTTTTAATACTGTTTGTTCATCTTTGGTAATAAGCTTAACTGTTGTATTTTCGGTATCCCAGTATGGAGCCTTTTCAACTAAAGAATTGGGATTTATTATCCTTTAATTTTATGAGAAAATAAGACCCGGTCTTACATATATTTTTTTTGCCTCCAAAAGAGGCATTAGGTCTTATTTTTGGGAGGTGTCTTATTTTTTTCATCACAAGGCCCAGCCCGGCCAGGCGCCCCCACCCCCCAGGCAACTCTGGTTTCATTCAGTGGGGGAGGAAGCCTTTGGAAACTGTCTTTTCATTTACATTCATCATCAATATTGTAATCCGTCCCTTTATATTTCAAAAAGATGATTTGTATTTACCGGTACCATGATTAGCCTCTTTGAACGCCACTGGGAAGGCACGGTATGAATTTTGCGCATGAACCACAGAAATACCCTCCATCCTCAAAGCTCATGCTTCCTCGCTCGGGACACACCACTGCTTTATAGGTGCATTCATCTTTGTGGCTCAGCTAAACTCCAGCTGAGGCGGGCTACAGTTCCCATCACCTTCAGGAAGCCTGGGCGATAGAAACCTTAGGCCAGGGTCCTCGCAGCTGAAGCAATCTGGCTTAGCCAGAGTCAGGTTTGCTGTCATGGAAGGTGTGGCCCATCCCCATCCAACTCTGCTGCACATGTAGGACAGTCATATATCTATGAGTGATTAGTTTAAAGTTATCTGTTTATTTGGGTTTCAATCTATTTAAGAACAGGTATTCTGCAACTTGTGAGAGGACAAATTAAATATTTCCCTACAAATTAATTTTCAAGGCTCATACAATTGCTTGAGGAGTTTCTCCCAATTTTCTGCAGTGTAGATGTGTATGCATACACACATGAAACCTATGAAGCAGATATATCACTAGCAAAATGCATGTCTGCTGAAACAGTGGAAGGAGAGATGCTTCATTTTCCCTTCTATGTATTGCAAACATTTCTTTTGAATTTCTGAAGATGGCTAGTAACTGGATATGAGGTACATCAATTAGAAGTAGAAGAATAAAAGATATCACAAAACATATTGAGTTGGTTAGCTTTATTTATTTGTACATTTATTTTTATGAGTATTTGCAGATACATAGATTTGAAGTTTACTTTAATGCCAAAGGAACAGTGTTGATCCTTGTCATGTTAACTTTTATATTGCTACTAAAACATAGTCACTGAGAATAAGTTGAGTGGCCTTATAAATTTTAATAAATAAATAAATGAAAAATCACAAAGAACATAATTGGGAGCATTGATTTAAATGTTATACTGCCTGAACCTTTATGCAAATATAGGTTGGTGATTTGTTAATCTTGGTCCTTTAATTTTTTTTCATAAGTTTTCATACAAAAACTGGAAAAAAAATAAGGATACTTTGAGAGCTAAGAATGTTGCAGTCATTTTTCTATGTAAATTTACAACTTAGATCATTCTAATGAGAGACCAACAGAGGACATTTCTACCACTGCCCACTTTCCAAAATTGAAAAAAGTGGGTGGTAAGATGATACCTTGTTGTAGTTAGAATTCAATATATGCCAGCAAAAATTTAAGAAGTAGGTCTTATCAGAGTGTAAAAATAGTATGTTTTATCACAGTTGCTTCTTTCATAAGTTCTGAGATTATAAACTATATCATAAGAAGAAAGATTTAGAAAGCTTGTTCCAAATAGTTTTACCACCTTATTTATTTCCAAGAAGATATTAGTGATCCTCTGTAACTAGCTCTGGGAATATAGAGTAAAACTACTCAATCTAAGCTAAAATGCTTAAGTTAAACCAAAATAGAATAAATGAGTAAATAAACTAAAATATTATGGGGCTATTGTTTTTATTGTTTGTATACTGGGTTTTTATTTTCATAAGACACCCAGATTCACTGAAAGTGAGCGGGCAGCCATATAAACTTTCTTAAATAAATAAATAAAACTAAAACAATAAAAAATCCACTGAGATTAAACAAGCAGGAAATTCTGAAAACCTATGGAAATAGAAATATATCTAAAGGTATGAGAGATCGGCAGATGTCCATTTTAAAAAGCCTTACAATAGTTGTAATATAGTAATAGCTTGTACTACCTGCTAAACTGTATGTAATATGAAAGCAACTGAGGTATTTAAATTTAAATACTGAATAAGCAGATGTGTTATTATTATTAGAACATAGTCAATATAATTAAGTAATGGTTGTATGGATTAAATAATTGCAAATTTGGAATAAACTAGAGCAATATAAAAACTGAATATGAAATTTGGATTATTTGTTTACTTTCTGCAGTATGTGGAACAGTATCAGTTGGAGAAGAAGAAGAAGAAGGTGAAACAGGATGGATTGAAGGAGCTGCAATCCTCCTGTCTGTCGTTTGTGTGGTATTAGTGACAGCTTTTAATGACTGGAGTAAAGAGAAGCAGTTCAGGGGATTACAAAGCCGCATTGAACAAGAACAGAAGTTTACTGTCATCAGGGGTGGCCAAGTTATCCAGATACCTGTAGCTGACATAGTTGTTGGTGACATTGCACAAGTAAAATATGGTAAATATACCCATTTATTTTATTGTGATCTCTGTAACCTATTTATTTGTTTGTTAAATGTAGTTTTGACTTCTGTTTTAGGTGACCTTTTACCAGCTGATGGTGTACTTATACAAGGCAATGACCTCAAAATTGATGAAAGCTCGCTCACTGGAGAATCTGATCTTGTTAAGAAAGTGTTGGATCGAGACCTTATGATGCTCTCAGGTGAGTGATCAAATGATAGCTAGGATCTAATCATGAGATATTATGGAAACTGAACAAAGTTTCCTACTTCTAGAACTAGGTTATGTGACATATTGTCTTCCCAGGTGACAGTATAGTAAGAACTAGTGCTCTTATATATTATGTATTACATTTTTAACTTCCCCAGGACCAAAATGATAGGTCCTAACAACAGGTAGGATTTCAGACATACAAGCATCCTTTAATGTGATTAGTTTAATTAAGCATATATAACTGTAGAGAGATTAAATAATTTCTAGAATACTGGTATACTAGAATACAACATTATTACAAATTATTGATACTGTGGCCCTCAGTATGTTATTTTTCTGGCCAATCAGCAATAAATGTTTAATATTTCAGTAATGAAATAAATTTTCAAAGTAAAGAGTGATGCATAATTAATATTTCAAACATACAATGCAATGGTGCAATCCACAAAGTTTGATATATAAATAATTTATTTCTTGACTTGCATTTCATTTAGTATAATGATTTAATTCTCAAGTTTCTTTCACAATACAAATACAATATGTATGGAATAATTTTTTTCATGTAAGAATCATGACCTGCCTTAAATATATTCTCACTCCCTATAAATTGTTCCTATTAATAGTTTATACTCAGGATTGTTTTATTTATAAAGACTAGTGAAAATATAAGCCACTTAATAGAACTAAAAATCTTGGTGGTTAAACATACATAACCCCCATTCTTTGTGTTTAACCCACATTAAGCTAAAAAAACAAAAACAAACCCATATGGCTATCCCATAAAAATATCCTGAATAACTTCTCTCTTGATATAAAACGTCTAAAAGAATTAATATAGAAATTCATCTCGAAGTGTAAATCAGTGTAGAAGAAATAATCATTTTGACCATGTTTATTTTCCCCCATAGACCCATAGGAATGTTCAATTCAATTTAACATATTTAAATATATTAATGAATGTTCAAGGGTAGTCCTTGACTTAACCATATGTTTAACATCCATTCAAAGTTACAATGGCACTGAAAAAGTGACTTACAATTGGTTATCACAGTTACAATTGTTCAGCATCCCAGTTATCACATGATCAAAATTCATGCATTCAGCAACCAGCATCTACTTATGAATTTTGCAGTATCCAGGGTGTCATGGTTCCGATAGATGAAACCAATAAAAGAACTTCAAGACAAGAATTCTTCCTTAAAGAACATTTTATTCGAAAACAAAATATTGGCACTCACATAGTTGAACCCAAAACTGAGATTCCCTCCCCCCCAGATACAAAGTAACAAGTTGCAATTCCCATTCCACAAATGCTGTCATAAATCATATTCCCCAATTAACTCAAGACCCAGGCTTTTCTCACCAGCCACTCAGCCTGCCAAATCTTATCAGACCATGTCCTTGAGTTCCCACACTTCTACATTGTTATGGCTAGCTAAACCCTCAAGCATTCATCCCATCCCCCTTCTACATCTGAACTCTAAAAGAATAGAAAAGCCATGTTAGAAAGAAAAATAAAAATGGCTGCTGATTCTCAGGTGTCAAAGCAACAACATCCATTATCACAGCGTTGACACAAGGTTCATGTAATCACTATTTACAATCTTCCGAGCTGTTTTCCAATAAGCAAAGTCAGTGGGGGAAACTGGGCTTGCTTAATGACTGCTGTAAAAAAAGGTTGTAAAATCAGGCACAACTCGCTTAAGGACTGCATTGCTTAGCAGTGGAAGTTCCAATTCCAGTTGTGGGCATAAATCAAGAACTACATGTTCTAAGATATTTAAGAAAATTTGGAGAATAGGCAAATTCCAATAATTCACAAATTGCTATTAATATCTGTAATGTAAGCAGAAATATATTAAACATTCCAAGTAATCCAATGATTTAATGTATTTACAAATTGAGGTAAAGGTTATCAGAAATAGGAAAATATCATCTGAATAAATAATATTTTTTGTTACTCTACAGCTACTTTGAATCCCAAAATTTAATGTAATTGCCTAAAAGAAGAGACCTAGTGGTTTTAATACTAAACTTTATAAAAGAAAAGATAAAACTTATGTTACGTTATATTGAAATTTCTTAAAAAATAACATAACATACATAACATAAATATAACAAAATATAGTATAAATATAGTACAATGTGATGTACTATATAATAATATAATATAATTTTATAGGCAAAATATATATTCATTCATTAAGGTGTATATGCCACTGCTATCAAAAAATAACTGTTTTATACCATTCATAATCATTCTAGCTGATTTAAATTTTAATTCAATATTACTTTAATCTATTAATAAACACACAAGAATTCAATTTTTCCCAAATCATGTTCAGAAAATTTAATCATTCCACATTGAAGCGTTTTTCTGCATCTAAAGAAGCTATCAGATCCAAATCAGGTTTCTCGGATTCTCACCTTACTCATGGTAACTTATTCCTTAGTCGTCTCATGTTTAAATTGCTATAATGCAGTATATATGGGCCTTCTCTTGAAGAACTTTTGGAAGCTGCAGGTGGTCCAGAATGCAGCAGAATGGGCTGTTTTTGACATTTCTCATTACATTCATGTGCCAGCACTGTCCTGTAAGATGTACAGACTTACAATAAGCTTCTGAATGCAATTTAAAATGCTGCTTATAATCTAAAAAGCCCTCTGTGGCACAGGGCCAGATTATTCCCTTTCTCCTGTTGTTTTACAAGAGGGCATGCTCCAGATTCTTGTTGTAAAACATTGTCGTCAGCGGCAGCACTTGCCCCTTGGAATAAGAGCCCCCTACCCCAACCCTTTGGAATGTGGATGGTTCTAAGCCTGTTAGCCTTTTGTAAGTTATTGAAAATCTGGCTATTTCCCCATGCATTTAGGGTGAGAGTAGATGAGCTCTACTATTTTGAGGATGTGTGGAATTATTTGGGTGTGGGTATGGATGTGGGATTGGTTTAGTGAGTATGTTTGCTTTAATTTTGTAAGCTGCCCAGAGTCACTTGTGTGAGATAGGTGGCTATATATAAATCATAATTTTTTTAAAATATATATACCAATATCTAATATCTATTTCTTTTTATAAACTGGAATTGTACAAGTTGCACTATAAAGGTCACTTGATACCTTTATTTAAAAGTTTCTCAGAAGGCAACTTCTTTCCTATAAATTCCAATTGAAGGACTCAAAGAAAGTTTCTGTCTCTGTCTATGAGACATAATCCTTCCCCTGAAGCTTCAAAACGTAATCCAAAACAATGAAGATAAAATCAGTCAAGATTACATTTTTATTCATTGATGCAGGAGACATGTGAAGTCTGATTAGAAAAGTTTTCCGCCACAAGTGGAATAATCATTGCTTAGAGGGATTCAAATATATGAAAAGCAGTAGTGAAAGGTATTGATGTAAATAAGATGTAAGTTTCTTCTGTCTTACTTCCTGCCTTTAATTTGCTTATTACCGTGTTTCTCCAAAAATAAGACCTATCCGAAAATAAGCCCTCACCTGATTTTTAAGCCTGCATGTAATATAAGCCCTACCCCCCAAAATAAGCCCTAGTTAAGAGCATCAGCCCTGGGGGGAGGGGGGAGCATGGCCAGCACAGGCCGTGGTGTGGTGCCACTCCTGCCCCCTGCCTCATCTGATCCGTTCAGTGGTAGCACTGCACAATCTCATCAACAACAAGATTCCCAAACAGAGATGCTGAGAAGAAGGAGGGGCAGGAGAAGGGGGAGACTAAGAAGGAGAAGAAAGATGACAAAGAAAAGGGGGAAAAAAAGTGAAGCCAAGAAAGAACAGAAGAAGGAGAAGTACCATAGTATTAGTAACTAGTTTTCTATTTGTAAATTAAAAGCATTAAATTGCACCAGACTGCTCTGGATGAAGGTTCTTCCCTGTCGGTGGCTTGGGAGAGACTGAGAGCTACATGAGTTCTGAAATGTGCTTACAGGGGCTGCTGGACACTGAGTGGGCAGTCCTGTGCCTCTGACTCCGCCTGCTGCCCCTGCTGCCCACAGTGGTCCCAGTTGTTGCAAGCAAGCAGCAGATGTGAAAAGCGAAAAGCGGGACTCGCCTGCCATCCCTTGCACTAAAGAAGGTGTCAAAAAATGGGGCTGCCCACTCTGTTTCCAGCAGTCGCTGCAAGCACATTTTGGTAAGGGAGAAGGGGCAGCTGCTATTGCCCCTGGTTGGGTTTGCACGGTGGTGGAAAGAGACCGCAGGATTTATTTTACAGAGAGAGAGAGAGCTCTTGACCCCTGCAAACCTCCCTTGGGACCATGGCAGGAGGCATGGGGCCGCCCACTCCGTGTCTAGCAGCCGCTGCAAGCACATTTCGGGAAAGAGCCAGGAAGCATTTTAAAGAGAGAGAGCTTGTTCTCTGCAAATCTCCCTTGAATACCATTCACCCGTATCTACAGTAACTCTAAGTGGAGGCCAAATGCACAGGGGCCACAGCATGGCACCAACCCTGCCCCCTGCCTCACCTCGCCTCTACGAGTAGTCAGGGAGGGAATCTGGATACAATACACACTGTGCGCACGTGAGGATTAGCGAGACAGTTTGTCACCCTGGGCAAAAAACATCGAAGCATCTCTCTTTTTAAAATAAATTCTGTAGTCTGTTGCCACCACCGTGCAAACCCAAGCACGGGCAATAACAGCTGTACCTTCTCCCTTCCAAAACACGTGATTTGAATAACACCTGGCTTGCTATTGAAACGCATCCCAGCTCTTTCCTGAAGAAAAGGTGGTTCTTCTCTACGTTTCACTGCCTTCCGCAGTCCACTACAGCGACTTCTGCTTTTCGCTTTTGATGCACTCAACACTCGTAGCAACTGGCATGACTACCCCTGCTGCTGGTGGGCTTGCAGAGGCTCTTAGCCCTCCTGGCAGTGCTGTTTTTGGCTGCCAGCCTACCAGGTCCCCTTCGCCAGGAGCCAATGGAGTTGCATCACCTCCCCTGCCACCGCCTTCAGGCTGCTGAGCGCTGGCCTGCACG